GCAGCCCCCCCTCCCACTGCGCTGGAGACGAGCGTCTCATTGGAGGGTATTCCCTGCCCCAAGCATTGCAAACGGTCAAAAATACCAAAATACCAGCAGCACCGAACTGTGTGTTTATGCGGAAACAGAGGCGAGAGAGAAAGCAATAAAAACACCATTTTTTTCCGATTGTATTTTTTTTGTTTTGTTCAGAAAACCCAAGGGCTCCTCTTCTTCGCCCCTTAGTCTTCATCCACACCTGTGACCCCCCCAAAACCAGAAATGTGGAGACAAACAACTGGGCGTCTTAACTCGGAACCGCGGCCCCAAACATTCCTGCTCAAGCGGACAATTTCAATGCATCGGCAGCAAGACCACTTGCTCAGAAGAAGTGGCAATAAAACACTCTGGTTTTTGAAACAGCTGATGTCCCAGGCGATGCAGGGCGAGTTATGGGGGAGCCCCTGCCATCCTTCCGGTTTCTCCCAAGTCCCTTGGCCTCCATGGCACCCCAAGTCCAGCCAAGTGCAAAAACACACCCCTCGCCCCTCCCCAAGTTGTCCCAACGAGTCCAGGAGTGAAATCTCTCCAACACAGAATGACAGCCCCGAAGGGTGGGCATCCGGGCCTGTGGGGACCCCAGCGCGAGCCCCGCCCCCGCCCCGAGGTCACCTGCCCGGCCCGGGCCGCGCCCCTCCACCCGCACTCAGGGCCGGCAGCGCCCCCAGGCCTCAGTTTCCCGCAATGTCTCTTCCGTGAAAGGAGGGGGGGTCCCCAAACGGGAGCTGGCACTCAAAACGGGGAGTGGCCCGCCTCTGCGCTTAGACAGGCGGGGCCCACCCAACTTGACACAAGGCACGACCTCTGACCTCCAACCCCAACCACCTCGGGCCAGACCCCGTCGGCCGCAGTCGCCACCCCTCCAGCGGCAGGAGGGTGGCCGGCCCCCCCACCCCCCAGCCGGTCGAAGCTTAGCGCCACCGACCCCGGCCAAGGCCACCCCGCAAACCCCGATACCTCAGCTCCCAGGATTCGCCGCGCCCGTCGCCCGCGCCGCCGACACTGCTGCGCTTGCCCATTGGCTGCGAATATCTGCGGACTCAAGGGGCGAGGCAGCCAATGAAATCAGCGGGGGGCGGGCACTAGGACGAGTCTGGCATCCTGATTGGTCAGCACCAGACCTGCAGGGAGCGAGGCTCGGGCCTAGGGGCGGGGCCAGGCCTAGGGGCGGGGCCGGGTCGGGGGCGGAGCTTCTAGGGGGCGGGGCCCCAGCTCTCCGACCTGAGCCCCGCCCCGCCCTCCTGCCTGTCACTGGCTGTGATTCACCCAACGCCTCACTCCCACAGCGGAGACCAGGCAGAGAAGGTTCCTTTGCTCAGATGGGCGAGGGGTCCGCGCCGCCCGCGAGGATAACAACAGTCCACCAATGTCAACACTGAACCACCACAACTCGGACCAAAAATATTCAATTTATCGAATGCAGGATAGCAGAGGGCTCCTTCACCTTAAAGGTCATGGATGAACTCACACACGAAATCACAAACGTTTAAAACTCCCATCCAAAAAAGAAAACGGAAATTAAGAAGCAAAACTAACTGGAGGAAAAGAAATGCAACAAATACCACAAATGATTAAAATCCTTATTTGAGGGAGACCTCGTCAGATGAATAAGGAAGACACTAAGACCACAGTAGATGGATGGGTGCAGACAGTTCACCAAAGAATCCAAAGTGTGCACAGTGAAGAAAAACTAACCCTCACTAGCAGTCGAAGTAAACGAAAAGATTAAAACAGGAAAGTTTCAAAAAACCCTTCTATGGCTTTCCATCCTGCTTAGAATGAAAGACAAATTCTTTACTTGGCAGACAAGTCCAGGATGGTGTGAGGGCTACAATGCATTCTCTGCCATTCTGCTCACTCCTCTCAGCCACACTTGCCTTTGCATCACTTCCCAGTTAATTTGCTTAGAGGTTATCATCTCTAGGTCTGTTTTGCTCACCACTCCCAGTGCCCACCTCAGAACCTACACTTAGATGCTCATTTAATAGTTCAATAGGACAGACATTAAGTGATGTGATCTGGTGGACACAGGTGCAAAGTAGCAGGGCTCAAATCCAAATCCTAAAATGTCTCACTCCAAAGACCCTCTGTCAGCCACGGCTGTGCTTCCGGCCCAAAGATGTGATGGCCAGAGCACCTGCAGTCATCTTGGACCATGAGGCAGCAACAGTGGAGGTGGAATCCATGTGGAATCCAAAGCAGAAAGGTGAAAGGCGTTACTTGTCCAAAATGTCATAGCTGGTAAGTACAAGAGGCAGGATATACCTCCAGGCAGTGGCCACTGAAAGCTTCTGAACAGGACTGTTTTTAAAAAAAAATTTTTTTTTTTAATTGATGTCAGAGAGGATGGGAGAGGGAGAGAGGAATAGAAACATCTATGATGAGAGAGAATCATGGATCGGCTGCCCCCTGCACGCCCCCTACTGGGGATGGAGCCCACAACCTGGGCATGTGCCCTGACCAGGAATTGATGCTCAACCGCTGAGCCACATAACCGGGCTCTCCCATGCTGACCTTTAACCCCAGCACTGGCTTTCCTGGGCATGCCAGGGAATTCTGCCAGGTTCACAGGGCCCAACTCAACACCTCCACACCCCCATCTCCTCCCCAGCCCCCTGAGATCAGGTGGGGACAGACCTCATTTATAACTTTTATAGGAATTACATGCTAACATGGAACTATTTTAGATATATTCGGTTACAGAAAATATTATGAAAATCAATTTCACATATGGATCCTCTTAGTACTCCGAGTTAGAGGCATTCCCAGGCCTGGGACCGCTGGCTGGAAGAGGATGTAAATTTAATTTTACAGGCTGTTGCCAGGTTGCTTTCAAACAAATGCCACAACAATTCACATTTCAGCAACAATTTTCAGAGAACCCCATACTGGTACTTATTTTTATCAATCCGCTAGGTATAAAGTGATAGGCTGTTTCTTAAATTTGCATTTTGCTAACTAATAACAAGTTCAAGGACCTTTTCTGTGTCGATCATTTCGATTTGCTCCTCTGTGAACTGCCGTGTTAACTGGATTAGGTTGAGCTGAATACAGCAGAACACCCCAAACTAGCAGAGACCATGTTTGTTGTCCTCAGCCCTCGTGTGCCAAGACGGCTGCCATAGCACCAGGCATCACATCCTCATTCCAAGCAGCAGGCGAGAGGCAGGCACAAAGGCGAGCACACTGCCTCCCTTTAAAGAGACTTCTTGGACATTACACGTACTATTTCTGCTCGCATACATTGAGTCAGGACACATGCCTGGATTGCAGGCTTGATCCCCGGTAGGGTCATCTGACCGATGTTTCTCTCTCATCGATATTTCTATCCTTTTCCCTTCCTCTCTTTCTAAAATCAATAAAAATCCAACATCCTTTCATGATAAACACATTCAACAAACGAGGAATAGAAGGGAACTTTCTCAACCTGCTTTATGACATGAATGGAAACCCCCAAGCTAACATCATACTTAACGAAGACTAAAAGCGTTCCCCTTAAAATTGGGGACAAGACAAGGATATTTGCTCTTGTCACTTCTATTCAACATTGTAGCGGAAGTTCTGACTGGGGCAGTTAGGCAAGAAAATAAAATAAAAATCATTTAGATGGGAAATAGAGAAGTAAAACCATCTCTTTTGAAGATGACATAATATATGCAGAAAATCCCCTGCCAAATCCATAGGAAACTATTAGAGCTAACAGATGAGTTAAGCAAGGTCGCATAAAACACACTTCTATATAGGAAAGAAATCTCGGATGAACGGGAGAGCCATAAAAGAAATATTCCACATATAGCAATGAACAGTCTGAAAATAAAATTCCGAAATAATTATACTTACAATATTAGCAAAAGAGAATAACATACTTAGGAAGACATTTAACAAAAGAAGTGGTGGACTTGTATACTGAAATCTAAGGAATTTAAAAGGACCCCAGTAAATGGAAAGACATCTCACATTCATAATAATTTAATATTCTGATGGCAATTCTCCCCAAATTGATTTACAGATTCAGTTTAGTACCTCTCAAAATTCCAACTATCTTTTTATTACAGATATCGACAAGCTGATCTTATAATTCGTACAGAAATTCAAAGGACCCAGAGGAGCCAAAACGATTTTGAAAAGCAAGGACAAGATGGGAGGACTCAAAATTTCCAATCTCACACCTTCCTACAAAGCAACAATAATCAAAATGGCCATAAGAAGAGACATTCAGAGGAACGGGATAGAACCGACAGCCCAGAAAAATCCACACATTAAATAAAAGGCAATGGTTTTGGACAAGGGTGTCAAGACCATTCAATCAATGGACATAAAAATAGTCTTTTCCACAAATCCCACAGGACAACTGAATATCTACATTATAAAATAAATTTGCATCACTATTGCATGTCATATTAAAACATTAACATCAGCGTGGCTCAGTGGTGGAGTGTTGACCTATGAACCAGGAGGTCACAGGTTCGATTCCTGGTCAGGGCACATGCCCCAGTTGCAGGCTCGATCCCCAGTGCGGGGCGTGCAATGATTCTCTCTCATCATTGATGTTTCTATCTCCCTCTCCCTCTCCCTTCTTCTCTGAAATCAATAAAAATATATTTTTAAAAAATAACTGAAAATGAATAAAATCTAAATCTAAGAGCTAAAACTAAAAAATCCTTAGAAGCAAACATGGGCCTGAAAATGAGCGACCTTGGGTGAGGCAGGTTTTCTTGGATGTGACATGGAAAGCACAAGCAATCAAAGGAAAAACAGAGAAAGTGGATTTCGTCGCAAGTAAAACACTGCCCGTGAAATAGCGTTAGCGAGGAAGTGAAAGGACAGCCCGCCCACGTGGTCAAAGAAAATCTTCGAA